CCTGGATTGTGGATTATTATTTGTGATTTTGGATTTACATTTTCTGTGTGTAATGTCAGTTTTGCTTTAAAACATCACCCCATTGAATTCTGGGTTTGTATATTTGCATGTTCAAAACTCATTGAATTCGGCGATACATTATTTATCGTATTTAGGAAACAGAAATTAATATTCTTGCATTAGTACCATCATAGTTTAACTTTGATTTTAGCAACATACATTATTTCGGGAAAAGTTTCGACTGGGTATTGGTATGGCGCAATGAACTTGTTGGTTCATAGCTTCATGTATTTATATTTCGCTGCAAAAGCAATAAAAGTAAAGGTGCCTCGTTCTATTGCAATGANTCTGGAATACTTTATTGGCATTATTTAGTATTTGTGGAACATTAAGAATGGTTCCTGGATTGTGGATTATTATTCGTGATTTTGGATTTACATTTTCTGTGTGTAATGTCAGTTTTGCTTTAAAAAATCACCCCATTGAATTCTGGGTTTGTATATTTACATGTTCAAAAATCATTGAATTTGGCGATACATTGTTTATCGTGTTTCGAAAACAGAAATTAATATTTTTACATTGGTATCATCATAGTTTAACTTTGATTTTAGCAACATACATTATTTCGGGAAAAGTTTCGACTGGGTATTGGTATGGCGCAATGAACTTGTTGGTTCATAGCTTCATGTATTTATATTTCGCTGCAAAAGCAATAAAAGTAAAGGTGCCTCGTTCTATTGCAATGATAATCACAATAATTCAAATTCTACAAATGATAATCGGCTGTTTTGTTACTATATGGGCTGTAAATCGGTATTTTACAGGAAAATACTGTGAACAAAATTATCAGCTGATTATTTTTTCAATGTTTGTATATGCTACTTATGCTGTATTGTTTCTTCGTTTATTTATAAACACATACTTAGATAAAAGGCATAAGTCAATACTGCAGCAGCGAAAAGATAATTGATGCGCTATTATATTGATTACAACTTGTAATATTCGTAAATGTTTTCATAATTTCAAAAAAAGTAAATTGTTAATTTTTCATATTTGAATATTATCAAAATGTTACTTACTACAATTTTGTACTTCGTTTCATTAATGTCATTCACTAGAAAAAACTGTATTTCGTGTTATATTTGAAATAAAAGTATTGATGTTGTCGAAACCGTGTTGTATTTGCTTATTGTGTACAGGCACAATGAAGTGACGTTTTTCTCAACACTGGGCTAGTTGAATCTTTTATTTAGTTAGACTAACTAAATAAAAGATTCAACTAGCCCAGTGTTGAGAAAAACGTCACTTCATTGTGCCTGTACACAATAAGCAAATACAACACGGTTTCGACAACATCAATACTTTTATTTCAAATATAACACGAAATACAGTTTTTTCTAGTGAATGACATTAATGAAACGAAGTACAAAATTGTAGTAAGTAACATTTTGATAATATTCAAATATGAAAAATTAACAATTTACTTTTTTTGAAATTATGAAAACATTTACGAATATTACAAGTTGTAATCAATATAATAGCGCATCAATTATCTTTTCGCTGCTGCAGTATTGACTTATGCCTTTTATCTAAGTATGTGTTTATAAATAAACGAAGAAACAATACAGCATAAGTAGCATATACAAACATTGAAAAAATAATCAGCTGATAATTTTGTTCACAGTATTTTCCTGTAAAATACCGATTTACAGCCCATATAGTAACAAAACAGCCGATTATCATTTGTAGAATTTGAATTATTGTGATTATCATTGCAATAGAACGAGGCACCTTTACTTTTATTGCTTTTGCAGCGAAATATAAATACATGAAGCTATGAACCAACAAGTTCATTGCGCCATACCAATACCCAGTCGAAACTTTTCCCGAAATAATGTATGTTGCTAAAATCAAAGTTAAACTATGATGATACCAATNAATTAATTATCTGCATTTTTATAAGTGTTTTAACCCTGATACATCAGGTTAAGACTGTTAAGTAAAAAACATTTTATGCCTATTTCCAAGTGATAAAATATTGATTATTTTAAAGTTTTAACATCGCTTAAAATAAATTTTCATTTGGAAAACCTTAACTAAATTCTTCTATTTCTTATAAGAATTTAATAAAAGTAATTAATACACACATATAAATATATAGTAATGGAAAAATTTATTTTAATAATACTTTTATTGTGTACAGGCACAATGAAGTGACGTTTTTCTCAACACTGGGCTAGTTGAATCTTTTATTTAGTTAGTCTAACTAAATAAAAGATTCAACTAGCCCAGTGTTGAGAAAAACGTCACTTCATTGTGCCTGTACACAATAAAAGTATTATTAAAATAAATTTTTCCATTACTATATATTTATATGTGTGTATTAATTACTTTTATTAAATTCTTATAAGAAATAGAAGAATTTAGTTAAGGTTTTCCAAATGAAAATTTATTTTAAGCGATGTTAAAACTTTAAAATAATCAATATTTTATCACTTGGAAATAGGCATAAAATGTTTTTTACTTAACAGTCTTAACCTGATGTATCAGGGTTAAAACACTTATAAAAATGCAGATAATTAATTACAAATGTAATTTTAACTTTTAAACAATGAATAACAATTAGATAATGTTACGGTAAAAATTAATTTTTTAAGATTTACAGATTCGAAGAGGCAAATAAAATATTAAGATAAACTTTTAGTGTTTTTGGATAGAAAGTAATTATTTTTAAAACATTAGCATAATTCACCGTCTTATATTTAATAATTTTGGTATTTAGATTTAAGTTATATTTAATCATTTTGGTAGTTAGATTTAAGTTGCGGCCGACGTTTTCAACACGAAAACGTGTACGTCGAACGTACAGCGCCGCTTTCCTAAAGGCCTAGATATTTGACAATGGTGTTTGGAATGTCAAGCATGATTCCACTGACTATCCAAACACCATTGTCAAACTTCTAGGCTTATAGGAAAGCGGCGCTAAACGTCCGACGTACACGTTTTCGCGTTAAAAACGTCGGCCGCAACCTCTCTAATGTTCTCGGGTTAGTGTTGTTTGTTTATATTTATTTGTAACTTATAACATGCACAAAATAAAAAAATAATAATAATATTAGTTACATGTACAGTATTCACAATTTATAATTTACACGTACACAGCTATTCATTCGAGAATCGTCGCACGCATGTGAGGATCTGATCCTGCCTATTTCTTTTAAGCGCTTGTCTGTGCTCTTTCCTTTCTCTTTCCTCCATCTCTCTAGTCCACATATGCCTATGCATACATAATACGCGTTCACGATACTTTTGATTCGTCACTTTTCCGTCGTAGTTTTTCCATTATATAATTACGTGACTTATAGCCTGATGATAACGGAGAAAAGAGACAGTTAGGACGTCGGTATATGTCACAGCTTTGATTTTTACAGATTGGAGACAGCTTGGTAGCCGAACGGTCCCAGGCTTTTGCCCGTGCACGCTAAGTGACCTTTATTACAAGCATTTAGCTTTCTGAAGTCTATGACAACAATTGTTCGGCATTGACGGCCGCGAATTTCGCGTCAATAAGCTGCCTCGACTTGTTCGATTATGTTATCAACTAAATTTCATATTTATTTTCACATTTTCACTTTGCGGTCCTTCTTTCTTCTTTTTCCGTTATTTACACGTGTAGATCATTTCATTGTTATTTACATTTGATATCATCATTTATCGCATACTACCATGACGCTCTTGTCTTTCCGCTACAACTGTCAAGAATTAACGCGATTGGCAAAGTATAGTGACAGCGGGCCAATAGAGAACATGGTCCTTGCCATAATGAGATTTGCGCGCCAATATTCTTACGTGCGTTAATCAAGCTAAAAAGTTTAGCCTAATATTCGACTATTCGGCCACGCTCCTGGCCGAATATTCGGTATTCGGCCTGAAGCCGAATTTACTATTCCTTGCAACACTAATAATAATTGTTATATAACACCTATCGCTGAGAATAATGAGAATTGCTGAAAATCATACTAACAATTTTACATTTGATCAATTTTTTGGAACATTTACAATCATTTTATAATCAAATGCAATAACAAATTCAAATTTAAAACGATTCGAACATTTGTTTAAAAAATCGAAATATATAAAAATGTTTATAACAATGTCTGAAATGTTATCAATTTAATACACCAATAAAGACTAAACGTAGTTAAAAACAAAAAATCTCATCTAAAGTACTACAGTAGAAGCTGCTCTTCAGGTTAAGCCTCGCCTTTCCCTGCTCTCCCTCTACCTCGTAGGGAAAATTTCGAAAAATCTCTTCCTCCGTATTGTACAATAATTTATTAAGCTGCAATCGACAGCAACGCTGCATACAGTAATTCTATTGCACAGATGTTGGTTCAGATATAGTTATTGTCATTAATAATATTACTTTCTTGCCATGTAAATATATTAAAAAATATAACGTTAGTTGTTTATAGCAACACGACACGTGAAGAGGAATGCCCCTCGGAAAAAGTTTCAATGGGAAACTGACCCTTATTTAAGTGTTACAATCACGAAGATAACTCGAAAAATTCTACTTTGTCATTCTGTCGGCGAGACGCAAACTGACGAAAAACTACAAATGTTCAGTGGTTTTTCACTCAGACAGCGGTAGGCAACTCTAAAAGCAATCAATCCTATTCTATTGCGAGTTGGACCATGCCCATAATAGTAGGAATGGTCCAACCTACAATGCTGAGAAACTGGGATCGTCGCATCTAAGATAGATCTTTCATGAAAAATTCTTGGAGAGTTACTTGCCCGGATTCGATCCCAACTCGTTCAGAGAGGTGGGCCAAGCCCTTTACTGCCATGACCATCATTCTTTATTCATCATTACACAGAAACTAATTCAAAAATTAAAAATAGAAAATAAAATTAAAAATTAAAATTTCTATCGACTTTCATTAACGTGTAACAGAGAAACTCAACAATTGACCTTTCATTGTCTTTTCTTTTCTTCTATTGTCAAGAGTGCGTTTCTAATTGACTAAAAAGATGTTTTTGGATTTTTACAGTTATCAACCTTTGCCTGAAAATTTGAAGTAAGAGATTTTTCACATTTTATTGTTATTTATGCAAATAAGATATTCATTCGAAAAATTAATTGCTTTAAAATGAAATTGCTCGATGCAAATGATAATTACTTTAAATTGAATTGAAGATTTTGATTCTTCGATATTTCTGAATGTAGTGTTTAAGCAAACATTTTTGTGTTTTGCTGTATTCTATAATCATTCTGGTGTTGAATTAAAAGGGTTGGATTTGCATGTGAGTTCAACAAGTAAAAATTTAAGGTCTTGTGCTAAGTAAATACATCTTACGGCTTTTTACATTTACTGTTACATAGAAAAGAATACAGAATACTCTATATTTTAACTCTATGAACCTATTTTAATAGAGTTATATTATCTGTAGTTTTTTGGATTCACTACACGTAATAGACGAATTTGTTGATCTATTGTTAAAGTTGTTAAGTTGTTAAATTTTTTATAAGTTGTTTTATAATAAGATGCTTATTAAAGATTTAAGCTTGATTTGTAAAAACTTCTTTCCCTCACTCAAATTAATAAAAGTTTATTAAATTTAGCTTACAGTGTGATAAAAAATTTTGTCAGACATTNAATAGAGTTATATTATCTGTAGTTTTTTGGATTCACTACACGTAATAGACGAATTTGTTGATCTATTGTTAAAGTTGTTAAGTTGTTAAATTTTTTATATGTTGTTTTATAATAAGATGCTTATTAAAGATTTAAGCTTGATTTGTAAAAACTTCTTTCCCTCACTCAAATTAATAAAAGTTTATTAAATTTAGCTTACAGTGTGATAAAAAATTTTGTCAGACATTAAATGCAAAGTTTCTTTAGAGTGTAATAATTTTTCTAAAAGTTTACATAAGTACTCATTCGTAAAGTTTTGTATATTCTATTTTAAAAGAAGAATAAAAGTTTTTCGGCATTTAACATTTATTGTTTTATAAGAATTTTCTCTTTTCATTGTTAGGGCAATGTCAGATGGACAGGCGGGATTGGTAAATCCCAAAAATTTGAATCATTTTAAATATCGCGGCAAGGAAAAATGCCTGTTGGAGCAGGATGATCCCGCAAAAATAAAATTTGAAAGATCCATCTTAAAAAATCACATAAATCCTGCACATAAACAAATCATGGAGAAGATTCGGCCATTTTACGATATTTCGTGCGATCGCATTAACAGGTAACTTATATCACTGTTTATATGTAATACAGTTATATCACGTTGATACGTGCTTCTTGTCCTTAATTACTTATATTATACTTTTATCCACTTTAGATATTCTTGTGTCATTATAACAAGTCTAATGTGGAGGTCCACTTGGAATTTGTTATACTAAGGAAAAATAATTTTAAATTAAAATATATTTTTTGTAACGTAATCTTATATGCTATTATACCATAATCGAGCATTTCAAGCCAACGTTCTTTTCAGCAGACGTTACCTTTTTATGTTTTTATTTCAATATGTGAATACAGCTGCAGAGTGAGATGGTGTAAGCTGAATAATTACTCCGTGGGATGAAGAGTTGGTAATTCGTTTAACGAATTAGTGATGTTTAAGTAAATGAAACTGTGTTGTAATAAACAGGAAAATATTTAAGAAAACTTTTGCTGGGAAAATTTAAAAAATGGCATTTCAAACGTCTATTCCGAAAATGTTGAAAGATACATATCGGTGTATTAAACTATAAACATAAAAAAAATAATATCTGCTTAGGAGGAACGTTGACTCGAAATGCTCGATTGTTGTGGCATATAAAATCTTTTATGTACAGAACAGTATGAATAGTAAATATATTTTAACTCGAAATATTGTTTTTCTTCCCTCATTATAAAAAATCCTAGTACAAAAAAAATGGACAAAAGAATAAGACAGTTATACAGTATTATAACATAGTACGGAATGAGCCGCTAAAGGACGGGACGTACTCTGAGAATATAATACATTTATATTAAAGTACAATTTAGTAAGAAATGGTCATATGGACAATTCCTTTACTATGCGTATAATTATATAGTATATTCTACCATTTGTACAAATTACATGTACAGGATGAACACACGTCTCGATTTTCTCTTGTTTTTAGACATCACAAATATAAATATGATCGCTTAATATAAGTTGTAATTTAATGTGACAAATTTATAATCACTACATTATTTTTACTTTCTCGGCTCTGTGGTATATAATAAAGGGAAAGTATAGCGATCGATCAAAAAACGATTCCTAAGACTTTTACATATTAATTTTACAAGACTCAAAGGATTTTGAAACTTCCAGAAATGCAACAAAAATCTCGGATTTTCTGTATGTATAGATTATGTGTGTGTGTGTTTGAGGGCACGATTTTTTGAGTATCAGGAAGAGTCGAACTTAACAATATAAGTATGGGCGGGTGGAACATCGTGTACGCTGGTGTCCGCCCTAATAATGGCGTGACCAGCCGTGATTACTTATGTCTTCTGAGGATGTCCGCTCTGATGATCGATTGTAACCCCTTTTTATACATGTTCCACGTGAGAACTGTCTCAGGTGACTTTGATTTAATGTGGTTTAAGTTCGATTTGAGTCTGGGGTTTGCTGATATGCGCTGTCAAGAATCAGATGTTTCGACAAATTATGGATATACTCTAATAGTCGTCTTATCTCATAATTTCTTCCGTTTGACAATTTGTTATCATGACTTATTGGCTGTTTTGACTAAGGTTGTAACCTAAGTCCTAACCTTGTTATAGTCGTTGACGTAGAATGATATTTGATCGGTTTTATTCATCAGTGTATCGGGAGAAAACGGACATGTGAGTTTCCCTTTTCCCTAACTTTTTCTAATTAATTTAATTTTATCCTCCAGACTCACACTTGAAAAAATATCAAATTGAAGAACAATAGCCAATAACGAGAAATATATAAGCCAACAACTTATACTGACAATACATTGGAAAATATTTTTACATTATTACTTTTTTAGTATTAATTAATGTCGATTTTGTTAGACCCAATGCATGACACATGATCGTAACCTTAGGCCAGATGGCCGAGCTGTCAAGGTAGCAGCCTACCGCTCTGAACCCGAGATCGAATCCAGAAGGTCGAATAATCCTGAGAAATTTTTCAGGGGGTGGTCTGTCTGAATATGTCGGGCTCCTGTCCCTCACCACCCAGTTGCCTCATTATGGGCCTGGCCATATCCATAATGGGCTTGCAAAAAAGAGGCCCTCTTAGTGCCCACGGGGCAGAAAAAGTTTAAATTATAAAATTTCACAATTTTAAAACAATAATATATATTACTTTTTTTTTTAATGTATATAACACGGTATATCTAAATTTTTAAAATTTGCAAACTTTAACACTGCATAGAAGGGCGTTGAAAAGACTTGGGAATGAATACAAACCATCTAACAGACCGATGTGTGTAAACTTGTGCAATTACTTACAATGTTTTTCAGTATATAAGAAAGTATTAACTATACTTACAGAAAGTGTTTTAATATATGTAAAAGTCTTTTCTTTCAATTATTTCAACTATTTTCAAAGATACTCGTATGTATTGATAAAAAAATCCATTGTTTGTTATACAGCAGTACGTTCACTACAACCAGAATGTATGTAGGCCTACTTCATACAGAGGTCAAAAACAAAATGGCAATAATGTAATAGTTTACTAAACACATAGAGTTAAAACCTATAAATTATGTAAAAAATAACACAAATAAAAAATACGTATATATATATATATATATAATACACAAAAAGAGACCAACACAAAAAATTGCCTGGGTCTCTGAGACCCAAATTTTCTGCTAACCACGGCAGAATAAATTTAGTCAAGTTGAATTTTACATAAATACATAAATTTGTAGTCCTACCCTGAGTAGAAAGGTATGTGTACTATAAATTGCCTAACTACGTAAATACATAACGAATATATACTGCAAATGTCGCATGAGTCTGTGACACACAGGTCATTCATTGCAGGGTTAAAGAATGGTCGGAATTCTCAAAACATTTTATCATAGGTCAAACTGAGGATTTTGTATTTTTGCCACGTCACAATTTAAATGAAATAAAACATGTTATAATTCATAAACAATATTAAATTGCTATTTCTCGGGGCGAAATTTACTTATTACGGCTGCGTGCACTGTTACTTAAATCAGACTAACATAACGTATCTGTTTTAAAAGTAAATTCTACAATTGTTTCTTAAAGTTTTCAATTTTTAAATCGTTTATCAATAATGTAAAATTTAAAAAATGCTGCTATTTCTGTCGAAATATATATAATACTTTTACTGAAAATCCAAAAGTCTATTTTAAATTAAATTAATTTTATTAATTTAACAAAAATATTAATTAACATGTTACATTTGTAAAACAGCACGAAACACTTCCAATTCAGAATAATAATATCGATAGCATACATATAATACACTGACTGTGAGTGGTGTAACCACTCTCAACACAATATTATCTACAATATATAAGAATTAAGTTTACGTGCAAGTTCTTATAAGCAACATATCAAGAAACATTATAAATAATTAACACGTTTTCTTAAGAACAATTTTTATGAAATCTTAGAGTTAACCAAAATTTAATATTTCTTATTCCTCTATTTTGTATAACCCACCACTTACAAGTGCATTAAATCACAGGTTAAGTCCTACAGTTTAGCAATAGCTGGGCAAGTGGAGTTTATCCGGGTTTCTTCATGTTTTTCACTTTTATACAGAGAAAAGTTTTCCATACGAACTCCTTCTGAAAGTAATTCATTTATGCTTGATCTGTACATATGTGTTCAGCAAAGTTTTAAATTTATAACGGAAAGGAAGCTTACTCCAATTATAAATGTTGAATGTTTAGAGTATGTCGTGCAGGAGATTGAAAACGTTCTCGTCACACGTCTTCGAGCCACGTGGTTCTTCCGGCAAAATCGGGAACAAAGCAAGTAATGTGGTATCTGGGTCCAGAAAATCACACTCTACCATATTTACTTTATATCACACGATTTACATGTATACATTATTATTTTATTTTATTCGGCATATTGCTTGTACAGATTCTCCACGTGTTAGGTTACTTCATCGTATCAAATAAACCAATCATCCTTTCTATTTGTTTTCTGCCTGAAAATTTTTACTCTGAAAAAGAATTTAGCAAAAGCTTTTTGGCTGCCTCTAGTAGAGTTGTAACACTATTTATTTTATTTTATTCATTAGCTTAGCTCAAATTAGACAGTTACACGTAAATGAATCAACTTCACAATAATATAATGTAATATTATCTAACAACTTTATTTATATTGTGAAATAACAGATGTCATAATTTTTATATTTGAAAACGAATATTAGTTTTTAGTGCAATTATAATTGTTGCATAAATGTATTTATAGAAATACCATGTTTAATTTTCAGATATTTTTTTATAATTTTTTGTGAAATAATTTAAATTATTATCTTTTTAATAGTTTTTCAACAAGTAGAATTATAACAGAGATACTATATCCACACACCAATAATATCAAAGTGCTGCTAATGTCTTCGATACTAAGTGAATAATAGGTTTCTTTGTTGATACTTCCCTCTGCAGGCAAATCATTCTGTTTCAATTTTTGGTATATACCACTATCTACCAATCTGCTAATTCTGAATGAAAAAAAATTAAAATTTAATTTAATTACATGTCATTTTTCATTATATTTTTAATAAGTGATTTTCTAACTTATCAGAACTTTATTTTCTCATTGGTAGATAGATAAACAAAGTTTTACAAAAATAGTTATTAATATTAAACAAAACCTGTTCAACAATAATAAATAAATTATCATATCACACCTTTTATTTTGTCGAGACAATTTTTTTTATTTAAAACTAACGTTTCTACTCTATAGGCCATAATCAGGTTTAGCGAGCGAATTGGAACCTGAACGTTCCAAAAACTAAATTCAAATTCATAAAGCATACAATGGAGAAAATAAGAAAATGACATAAAATAATATATACATTAGTTTGTAATTTCATGCATTATCAAGGTAAATTGATGAAACACGCAATTATAACCTAATGTATACATTATTTTTATGATATTTTCTTATTTTTCTCCGTTGTATATTTTTTAATTTGAATTTATGCCTTTCTTTTATGAAACATCGAGGTTTTCATTCGCTCACTAAACCTGAAAATGGCCTATATAGTAAACCGAAATCGTCAGTTTTCACTATAACAACCTCAGTAAGACGAAAGGTGTGTTATAATAATATAATTATTAATTGCTGTCACTAAAAGATGTTTTAAGAAAAAAATATTTCAGTGATTTGTAATGATTGATCTGTTCTTCAAAGAAAAAGAAGAGAAAAACAGCAGTCAGAAGATGGGATGGTTACATACCTTTAATCGAAATATGAGATGAAAAATTACTTTAATATAATATGATAAAAAAAAATATGATAAATTGAGATAAGTAAACAAACAGATAAAAAGTTCGGCTCAATGTTTTCTTTTGTTCGAATCCATACGATACGTTTAAGTCTTGACATTCAGAAAAAACTCAAGTAGGCGTATGAAATAAAAGCCAGCATTAAAAACAAAAATCTACCTCAACAATAATACAGTGTAATGCAGAATTTCCAACTACAATTATAAAGTGACATAATTCGGTATTATTCTGTATTTATTTCGAATCAATAATTCATCAGTTCGCAAATACATGTAGGTTTCGACCAATGGTCATAGAATACAACAACTCAGTACTGCTTATTCATGGTTCATGCATAACTAATAGCAGGCAGTGTGTATTTTTCAGGA